AGAAGTCCAGCCCAACCCTTCATAGGCCTGACACCCACTGAGATCAGAAAACGCCCTTGAATAAAAATACCTCCTAGGCTGTCTTATCACATGTTGGGAGCGCAGCGCCCGAGGGCGCGGAGGGAGGCGGGGCGGGGGCCGGGCCTCCGCACCCCCCCAGGAAGGGCTCGGAGGGGTCCCCGGGCTCTGATCTCCTCGGCTGGGGGAGGCCTGGGAGAGCGAGCGGCCCGCCGCCCACCTCACCCCGCGCCCCGATCGTTTCTCGGCCCTTCGGCTAGGCGGCCCAGCAACTTTGTTCCCAGAGATCAGCTCCCCCCGCCGCCCTGGGCGGAGGGCTTGGCCCGGGCCGCCGCCGCCCGCACCAGTCCGGGAACGTGGCCGCCCCGGTCACCTGAGCCCGGTCAATCAGCGCAGGCCCGGCGCCCTCTCCTCGCGCGCCCGCCCGCGCCCGCGCCCGCGCCCGCCCGCCCGCGGGAGTGGAGCGGCCTCCCCGCTGGTGAGCCCGCGAGGAGCCGCGCTGCCTGCAAACACAGCCCTCGCTTCCGTTGCCTCATCTCAAAACCTGGGACAGGCTAACTGGTTCCCTGCTTAGGGTGATTTGGGAAAAACTCGATGTCAACTTGCACACGTTACTTATGTCTAGTTCTAGATCCAAGCGGATTTTAATTTGACATATTGTTCTCAGTCTTGGTAATCTCCACTTTGGTCCTGTTATAGGGTGTGTGTGTGTGTGTTGCCAGAGATCAAACCTGTGACCTCTTACATCTTACAACCAATGGCTCACCTGTAATCCTCCACCTTACTCAGAGGCAGGAAAGTCTCTAAGACTTTTATCTACAGTCAACCACCAGGAAAGCTGGAAGTAAATTTGTGCCTTAAGAAAAAAAAAAAAGCTAAGGGACAGTGCCCGGCCTTGAGTTCAAGTCCCAGTACCAGCATTTTAAAAAGAAAAAAAAAAAGAGCCTGTATCATTAAGCTAAACTTCCCCACCCTGTGTTACCAAACTTTCCTGGCATTGTTTTTTCTTTTTTTTTTTTTATTGTAAAGAGGCTGTACAGAGGGGTCACAGTTACATGAGTAAGGCAGAGAGTACATTACTTGTGGATCATTGTTACCCCTTCCCTTGTTGTGGTCCCACTATCCCTTCCCTCCCCCACCTCCCTCCCACCTAATCCCCCCATTGTTTTTAAGACTATGAAAATAGTCGAAATTTCATTGTATCCCCATTCACATATATAATTTTTGCACTGGCTTTATTTTACTATTTTTCCAGTTTGCACACAGCAACAACATCTGTTGATACAACCTGTTCCAAGCTTAAAGGGTTAGTCAAAAAAAAAAAAAAAACCCTACCTGGAAAGAAGTGGCTTGGGTTGAGCATTTTTGCTATTTACACATTTTATTCCCTTGTGTTAGACACAGTGGGGAAGAATTCCTAGTTTGCATAAGCAAAGTGGAAAGGATAGTTAACTGTTGCTTGCATAATATTTACAAGTTAATTTATTAGGCAATAAAGATTAATCATTAAGGGCTTTGAATAAGTTTCTCAGATAGAATTCACTGGCCTTCACTGGGTTATGAATTGAAAACCAATGTTGGTGCTGTGGAACTAGTTCATCCTGAGTCTTTCCTTATGAAGTTTCTAGTTTAGCTTCCTTCCTTTGAGGATTTTCTTCATTTGTAAGCCAAGTAAAATACAAAGTATCAACTTGAGATGAGCCTGATCTAGATCTATGCATTCACTTTCATTCCTTTCTTCTTTAAACAAACCAAAATAAATAGGGGGGAGGTCAGAGAAGAGTGGTAAACCAAAAAGGGTAAGAAACAATCAAAAAGGGTAAGGAACAATGCGTAAGTCCTGAGTTCAAGCCACAGTATTAACACCAAAAAACAAAAAGAGAGAGGGGTAGTGGAGAATGGTCTATTGGCTCGGTTTCAGGTGTTTGGGTTCTGGTTGGCTGGATCCACTGCTGGGTCAGAAATCAGCAAAATATTATAGACAGCAGAGGGCCAGAGGTTGCTTACATCATGGTGGTCAGTCAGCAGAGAGAACAGGCCCAAGAAGCCGATCACAACATACAGAATATCTAGGCCTCACCTGAGAACGTTTCCTTCACCTCCATTAGTGCTGTTAAATTATCAATCCATCAATGAATTCATGCACTGATAAGGTCAGAGGCTCATTATCAAATCACTTCTCAAGGACTGGATTACTAGCTAGGGACCATGACTCAATACACAGAACCTGTTTTTTGTTTAGCTGGTCCTTAGGCTTGAACTCAGGGCCTAGGTACTGTCCCTGACCCTATTTGTATTCAAGGCTAGCCCTCTACCACTTCAGCCCATTGCACAACTTCCAACTTCTCCTGACTAGTTTATTGGAGATGAAAGTCTCATGGACTTTCCTGCCCAGGCTGACTTCAAACCACAATCCTCAGACCTCAGCCCTTTGAGTAGCTAGGATTACAGGCATAAGCTACCAGAGCCACATGAGGGATTCTTCTTTTGAGGGATTCTTCATATCCAAAGTTGATGGAAATTCATGCCTGTAAGCCTAGCTATTTAGGAGGTGAAGGTAGGAGGATCCCAATCTGAGGCTGCCTGGGCAAAAGCACAAGCCCGTATCAGAGAAAACAAACTACAAAGCAAAAATGGATCAGGGGCATGATGCAAGTGGAAGCGCTTGCCTAAGAAGTGCAAGTCATGAGTTCAATCGCTAGTATTAAAGAAAAAGAGAAATACTAGAATATTTGCTACGTATCTTAGTGAATTCTTCATAGAAATATCTATACCTGTTGTGCAAGGTAAAAATAGCTACAAATAAAATCCTTTCTAATGGACTAAAGAAAGGAGTTCTTTGCCCCAGTCCAAGAAATAAAACATATGAAACTTTTCAAGAACAACCGATAGAAAACATACTTTAAAATTCAGATTGTCTGATGTGGTGGTAAATTCCGTGATTTGGGAGATCTGTGGCAGCCCAGGTAGCTTCAGGACCCAGGAGGTTAAGAACAGAATGGCTTGAGAGTCACTCATGGAGACATTGTATCCTTGGGGAGTGGGAAGTTCTTGCTTGCAAGAGGGAAATAAATCCAAGTCCAGCTGTGACTAGCTTTACCTTGAATTCCAGTGAATTCAGACCACCTAAAGACTGTTACAATTGCTAATACTTTCAACAGGTTCCTGGCAAGACAACCTTACAAATGGGAAGAGCTGGATCTGTTCTTAAGGAAAAGAGGCTCTTCTCTGTTGACCAAAGGTCAAGAAGATAAAAGCTGAGTTGCACAGTCCAGAGAAGCGAAGAGCAAAGGGGAAAGCTGATGGGAAGAGAGGGGGCGACTGGTGAACAAAGAAGGAATAACAGATATTCAAAAAGGGAAGGAAAACCAAGGCAACAATGCAGGAAAGAAGTCCAGCCCAACCCTTCATAGGCCTGACACCCACTGAGATCAGAAAACGCCCTTGAATAAAAATACCTCCTAGGCTGTCTTATCACATGTTAATTTTACTCAGTTTAGTTTGCTTTGTACAACGTTATAATGTTGATATTAGAAGGGATTTTACAGAAGCTCTCCTTCAACCCTTTATTTATAGACAGGGAAGCAAAGAAAAGATACTAAGTGGCTATAGTAATAATAATTGAAGTGGAGACCTTCACATTGCTAACGAGTGGAAAGAGATGACCCAGTGTGGATAAGAATTCATGGCTAACGAGGAGAAGGAGGAGAATGTAGGGAAGGAAAGATAAAGCTAATAGAGCTGAGAACTAAGCTAGATGGATGTTAGCTCAGTGCCAATTTTGATTGACAGTTATTAATAGCCTGAGCTTTTAAAACTCAAACTTTTACTTTCTGTATGTAAAACAGAAAAAGTAGTGCTTGCTTTAAGTGCTGTTGTGAGAATTCAGTGAGCTCGATACATTGGGCATTTGTCATGTGTTCCCTTTTCCTTTTATGATGATCCTTCTTCTTCCTCTTAACAACAGAATTTGCTGCCTCTGGGTGACCATCTTTCCTGCATGGCAAACATTACTGGAACTCAGTGTCTGCTGAGGGGCTGGAAATGCATACAGGTATGGGGCAGTGCCTATCTTCCAAAAGCTTATGCATAAACAATTACAAATTAACATGGGTACACTGATACAGCCAAGATGCCATTGGAATCAGGAGAGGGACACTTGAGCTGAACCTTAACAAAGGAATAGGAATCATGAAGGACATCTGTTGCTCTTGCTTCTGCTCAGCACCGTCCTCACCCCCAATTAACCAAAGTAAGGGCTCTACCACTCAGCCGCATCCCAGCCCTCCCCTCTGTGTGTGTGTGTGTGTGTGTGTGTGTGTGTGTGTGTGTGTGTGTCCCCGCCCTGGAGCTCAAACACTGAGCTGTTGTGTTGAAGGCTAGCATTCTACCCCTTGAGACATTTTGATGGTAAATTGGAACTAAGAGTTTCACAGACTTTCCTTTCAACAAAAATCCTCAGATCTCAGCCTCCTGGAATAGCTAGGATTACAGACATGAGCCACCAGTGCCGGGCTCTTCCCCTCTTT